TAATTTAAAATTCACAGAGAGGCATACGTGTTACATAAGAAAAAATTTACAAGTCCTTAGAGGATCATAAACTCTGTAAAAATATAACATTTGTAATAAAACCTAAAGAGTCTGAGATCCTATCTATTACAACAAGAGGAAAAAAACCAAGGACAAACAGAACAGTCACATAAGATGACAACAATAACAACAACAACAACACCTGCAGCTCCAAAATCAACAGCTCCAACCTCTAGCTCCGCACAACAACACAAGCATCCAAATATCTTACTCAAAATAAGGTTAGGTATTATTATTACTTTGAATTCTTAATTTGATATAGTTAGGCTATGTTGATGCTAATTTGGCTCATTACTATTGCTTCGTTTAGATCAACTTTTTTACAAATTTTTAAAGCAATTTTCCCAGTATACAAATTTTTTGAACCAAGTATTTTTGTACTAAAAATTTACTTTAAAAAATAAAAAAAAAAAACTATCCCAAACGAAATTTATATCCTTTAGTGATTTTTATCGATCTGCTTTCTCCCGGCTTTTCTCTGATGTTATGCTTATACCTAAAATCATTGGTCCATGTCTGCATTAGAATGGATGTATTGAACCCTTTGATGATTTTGTTGGAACTTCGTAGTGCTAACTAAACTTATATGGCCTCTTTGATCTTTCTTTAACATTCTGAGAATTTACTGAGCAATGAGGGCTTTCTCTAGACTTATATTTGAGTTGTTGGATCAATTAGTTCATGTTACATTTAGGATATTCAAATTATTTTTACGAGGTAAAAATGATTACCAATAGGGAGGGGTGTCAATATTTGACACGGCCCAAAAATTTGGCTCGACCATGACCTAAAAACATAAGAATCACCCGGAACCGACACGACCAGCCGTTGTAAATGAAATCGGATTTTGGAAATCCCGCAGGCCGCACTGCCGCAGGCTAGCTCCACAATCACCCCCTCGTCGCCCCCCGGCTCTCCCGCGACCTCGTCATCCGCCTCTCTGCACGGTCCCATCCTGCCCGATGACATTTGTCTGCAAAATCAAATCCTCATTCAACAATCGTCGGTGAGCAGTCGAGTGCTGATATGTTGTAGGCAACCAACGCCTCCTTCAACGACTTCCTTCCGGCAAGACAAAGACGGGTTAGCGGGTCGTGACGGGTTGATACGGGTCCGAAGAGGGTAGAATTCTGATACGAGAAAATGACCTGTTTTAGAAAACAACTTTATATCATAAAATTTTTTGTACTAAAAGTTAAAATAGTAAGAAAAATGTCATAAATAAAGCATAAATAATTACCAATATTTATTTGTTATATCAATCAAACCCCCTCTATAAATTTTTAATTTTCTAAATAGAAACTGAATTCATTTCAATCACGTGATTGTAGCAGAAAAAGGGAACAGAGGTCCAAAATATTTGAGAATCAGAATAGTACAATTGAAAGGCATCAAGTGGCAGAGAGATGCGGTCACAGATTCTGGTAGCCTGCAGGCAGACCTTTGGACCCAAATAAAGACCAATTTCCAACCAATCAAATCAGTCCAAACAGAAAAATATGCATGTGAATCTTCACATAAATTTAAGTAGGATTAGTGTGATCCTAATTAGTTTAGTTAAATAAAATAAAATAAAACTTTTTTAATTCAAATTTAACCATTATAAATTTTAATCATTGTTAAATTAATTTATTATAATACTCATAATTGGATAAATTTCACCGTTATCTATTAAATTAGAGAAATATAATCCAAATTTAATTTTGGATAAAATTACCCCTTTGAGGAATAAGCCAATGTATTTGTAGGTTTTTTTTAATTGAATTTAAAGACCTCTAAAACTAGTTTGAATTGGTTCGAACTCATATACATATCTTGATTGCGATGTTCAAACTAGCCCGAACAAGCTCTAATCGAATCTTTGGACCAAGCAAGCTTCTTTTCTCGTTCACGAGACCTTAGTTCAATTAACACTTAGCACCATAAGTTCACACACTACAGGAAAATCGCTCATTACCGACGGATTTCTGGCAGCTTTCCGACGGATAAAGATCAAATATTTCTGAATGATTTTCAGGAATATTTTTTGGCAGCTTTTCGACGGATTTTCCATGAATTTTAATAATTTCTGAAAAAGATTATATATCAGTAATTTCATTAATTATTAATTTTATAGCATTTAACTAATAATTCATTTAATAAATTTAATATAAAAATAATATAAAGTAATTGTCTAAAGTTAATAATAATTAATTAACTATTTATTAATAACTAAACTATTCTATAATAATAACTTAATATTAATATTAATAACACTATAAATTATTATTTTATTAATAACTTTAAATGAATATAATATAATAACAACCTTAACTGGTTATTAATAATTTTAAAACTTTATGATTTTAAAAGCAAAATTTTAATATCTTAATGGTAATAACTTATTTTAATTTTTGTTAAATCTTTTTATGGAATAGTTTATTTAAATATGGAAATATTATAAATTTAGACACATTTTAACCACACTAGAGTGTGTTTGACACTTTGAAACGAAAAGTGTCTATGTGTTCAATTCCCCGTGCGGGCCGGCACCGCGATCAGGTGGGGGCTTCTGGGCAGCGGGTTCGGGCGGGGCAACTCAGGTGGGAGGTTTTCGCTGGACAGAAAATTTTTCCGATTCTCTTTTATCGTCGAAATTTAGTTCGCCGGAAATTCACCAGAAAACTTTCTTGCTTTGATTTTCCTGCATTGACATCATGTATTCCTTATCATTCACATGGTAGTCCAGCAATGCTTGGTCCCAATGAACTGTCGTTGATGCCTTGCCCTAACATGCTCCTATTCTTCACTAATCACTACGTTGTATTTTTCTATGGGTTCTCATCACCAAAAAAAAAAAAAAACTCATTAACATGCCACCAACCATTACTTCAATCATCAATTTTCCCTACCATTTATTTCAAGTAATCTCATAAAGAAAAAAAATAAAAATGTAGTCACATTTAGGAACAATTATTACGTCCTCCGACCGGACGTTCCTCAAATTCCTGCAAAAAAAAAAGAGTTGTACCGAGCAAATACCGAGCAATATCAAACAATAACGAAGAATATCATCATTTGAAGATCCAATACCGAGTTATACCGGGCTTTACCAAGCAAAAAACCGAGTTATACAAAAGTTGTACCGAGTTTTTCCCAGAAAAACTCGGTACAACTCGGTATTTCTCGGTACAGCTCGGCATAACTCGGTATTTGTCTTCAGAGAACGGTATTCCTCATTATTATCAAATAATAACTAGTTGTACCGAGAAAATACCTAGTTTTTTGGCGGGAAATTGCCTCTGACCGGACGTTCCTCTACGTCCTTGCACCGGACGTAATAAAATTTCCACATTTAGGCTTCGTTTGGGGCAACTTTTTTGTTGATTTCTAAAACAATTTTTTAATACAAAAAATTTTTGAATTAGAAATTTTTGTACTAAAAATCCGTTTTAGAAAGCAGCAAGAAAATTGTCCCAAACGAAGCCTTAATTAATTATAGTTACTATGAGACATAGAAAGTCAAACTTTTTAACCTAAGTTAATTAACTTTTTTATATTAATATGATGATAAGATGTGGATGAGTAACATATAACAAATGAACTCACATGTTGACATTGGTCAATACAAAAGAACTCCACAATCATAGCTTTCATTTTTATAATAATTTGTATTTATCATGTCTTGAAAGTTCAAACATCATAAATAAAATAAAAAAATGCCTAATAATAAAGTGAGTTATACCAATGATATCTATAAAAATCTTTATTATATAATATATTATTAAGAAAATAAATTAGTCTTCTCCATCTATATCATTTGATGTCAGTCACCCCCTTTTCTATGCAAATATGCAATATTATATTTCACATCCATATTAATCATCAATTATATATTTATATATAAAGAGAGAGAGAGAGAGAGAGAGAGAGTTTAAGGAGGAGGAAGTAAAAGAGTGAAATGGCGATGGAGCTTTTGCTTTCTCTTCTGCTTCTATGTCTGTGTGGCCTTGCTCTACACTTCTACTATTTCTCCTGGTTGAAGCCTGAGAGGATTAGGAGAAAGCTAAGGCTTCAAGGGATCGCCGGACCGCCGGCGGCTTTCCTCCATGGAAACTTGAAGGATGTGAAGAGGTTTTTAATGGAGAAGAAGGAGAGAAGAGAAGAGGGAGAAGAGACCATAAGGCATGATTATGCCTCTGTTATTTTCCCTCACTTTGAGCAATGGAGGAAAGAGTATGGTATGTGCTTTGCTACTATTTGTTTATGTTTTATGATATATTGAAAATTATATACTTTTTAATTCAATAAAAAAATGAAAATAAAATTACAATATTTAAAAATATGTTTATTATTTGATATAGCAAAGATCTCTTTGCCTTCATTTTGGTCCTTTTTTAGGGTTCAAATCTAGGTGGTGTTAATGATCATTGAAACATAGTCATTAAGGCTATTTTTAGTCATCCTCAGTAATTATTTTATCATTAAAAAAAATGCACAATCTTCAAAGGTGTGGAGTGCAAGGAAAGGAATTGAGAAGCATTATTCTATAAGAAAATTTTACCACTCTTAACTTTCATCTAGATGCAAGAAGCATATAGAACCAATAAAAAATATTTATAGAATTTTATAAGATATTTTTTAGAATATATTTATGCATAAAAAAACTATTATATATGATTTTGATGATACTGAGAAATATTTGAATTATAAAAATCAGCCTTTTTAGGTCAACTTTCTCTTAATAAAGACTGAGCTAATCAACTCATCATCTTCATTATCAAAGATCAAAACTTTTCTTTTTTGTCGTATTGATAAAGGTTTAGCTAACCAACTCTTCATTATAAAGCGTCCAAAATTTTCTTTTATTCATCATTTTATGATAAATAATGAGTTAAGCGTAGTTTGGGACAGATTCCTTACTACTTCTTTAAAAAAAATTTAGTACAAATCTTTTAAATTTTAAGTTTTTTAACTAAAAATTTACTTGAAAAAATAGAAAAAAAAAATATCCCAAACGAAATCTTAGATTTCATTAAGGATAGCTTTTAAAAAATTTGTAATAGAAAGTTGCTTTTAAAAATAATAAGAAAACCGTCAAAAATTAAGGCTTTGAGACAACTTTTTTACTGCTTTCTAAAGCAGCTTTCTAATACAATTTTTGTTTTAAAAAAAACATACTAAAATTGTTTAATAAAGCAATACGAAAGTTGTCCCAAATGAAATTTAAGACTTTGTTTGGGACGGCTTTCTTCCTGCTTCATAAAACTGCTTTCTAGTACAAAAAATAAAATTTTTATACTAAAAAACCGCTTTAAGAAGCAATAAGAAAGCCATCCCAAACATAGCCTAAATCTTAGGTTTCATTTAGGACAATTTTAGTATTGCTTCTTGAATCAGCTTTTTAGTATAAAAATTATAATTTTTGTACCACAAAGCTGTTTTAATAAACAATAAGAAAGCCATCCCAAACGAAAACTTAATCAAGTTTTCAATATAAAAAATCATATCTTCCTACATAAATCTTGATTTATTAGCCCCACTCATTTTAAAATCAAAATTCAAGCATGCCTCTTGTTTGATTCGCATCTTTAGCCCCCATTTTTGACTAAGTAGTGGACTACTTGCTTGATTTAACATGATTGCCGAAAAATTTCCATACTTTTCAAAAAAAAAAAAACAAACATTAAAGCGCAAAGACGGACAAAATTAAAATATATGGAAGCTGGAAGTCAGTCTTATTGAAATGAGCAACAATGACATGAAAAAGATAAGGTAATGTACATGATTGTCTCTTAGTGATCCATTTCATTTTTTTTTTAAGAAAAATAATTCGAGAAATTTATTTTCCTTTACTCCCCCTAACATATACATAAATTATAATTCTATCCTTTACACTTAAAAAAAAAATTACACCTTCATGATGTTATTGGGGCAATTCATAAATAATGAAAGTAAAAAAATAATTTTGATATGTTTTTGCAGGTCCAATATTCTTGTATACAATGGGCAATGTACCAATGTTACATGTGAGCCAACCAGACTTAGTGAAAGAAATGAATTTATGCAAATCTTTAGATTTGGGGAAGGCCACTTATCTTAAAAAGACACATGAGCCTCTGTTTGGCCATGGAATTCTCAAATCTAATGGGGAATTATGGGCTTATCAGAGAAAAATTATTGCACCGGAGTTCTTCATGGACAAGGTTAAGGTAATTTTGTCATTTAGGTTTTTGCAACATTATTTATTGTTTTTTTTTTTTGTTGTCAAGAAATTAAGAAAATTGCTCATATAGATTATAGATTACATGATTTTCTACACAATTTGAAAAAAATAAATTTTTTAAATTTTTTTATTTTACCAAAGTAGCAAATAGCTTCATAATAATTGTGCTCGCCGTCATAAAAGATTATCGAAAGCTCAATTTTGAGTTGTATAGGGTCATTCTATTAGTAAACCAATATGGGCCGATTTATCGTATTATGATATTCTCGATCTATTTTGTCGGATATGTAGAAATCTTTGTCGTTATCACAACGGATCCTCAAAGAAATAGGTTTTGTATCTTATAAAGTATATACTTCGACTTGCGTGTGCTAGAACTTAGGCTCATAAACATAAAAGTACAGTACGCACTATTATACGAAGGTTATTTTCGGCATTCTTAGAAGATTTTTTTTTTTTTTTTTGAAGAAGAACAATGTCTTGCTTTAATTTTCCCCCAAAAAAAAAAAAATCCCTTTTTCA